TTTTTTTTATACACCCTGTATAAGAATAAGGGAGTGCAAGTACAAAATTTTATCAATACAAAATAGCTACATGTATGGCAATGTCAAACATATTATAATTGCCTAGCAAATTTGTGGATTGAGTTACCGTATATGTAAACTCAAGCAATAAATGGTTATATACTTATTGAGAACAAAATAAAACAGCAAAAATATATCTTCAAGAATCACACAACAAGCGCCAACACAACACCGTCGTAGTGTGCATGTCCCAGTTATTACTGATTAGTTCTCAGTCCTTACACTATCCTTTCCCAAAACTGAACTGTGTCCCACAGGTTAAATGTTAATTTCATACGGAACAAGCCAGGCAGGTGGTCTACAATTGTCGTTGAGGTCTTCCTTCAGGTTCCAAAACCACAGGTTCGACTTCTCGTTGTTGTATCTCGTGTTCGTCATCCGCACCTGGTCCGTCGACAACAGTGACAACATCTTTCAACTGTATCACCATCATTGGCTACGAGTTGTCCAGAAATTTGTTCCGATTGTACAGGTTCCTCTTGCGATCCTGTGGTCTCGTAGAATCTTTTCAACTGATTGTGACGGACAATCCTTCGCTTCAACCCAACCTTGTTAGAGCCCACGTACAGTACTTCATTCTGTACACAACTTCCCCTAGGCGTTTAATAACTTTCCATGGGCCCGTCCATGGTTTGTCCAACTTCATACACCTTCCGTTTTGTTCCACATTGCCAAATCACCTTCTTTGTAAACGTTTCCTCTCGCCCACCTGTCGTAATACAGTACTGCCAAGAAATAACTTATCAAAAACCGCGTCCAAGACGCGGGTATCTTGCGTCCACTGTGCGTCCACGGGCGCCCGGGGGTGCGTCCGTCCTGCGGGCGCCGTGCGTCCATCATGCGTCCACTGTGCGTCTGCGGGCGCTTGCAGGTGCGTCCATTGTGCGGGCGCCATGCGTCTGCGGGCGAGGACGCAGCTGAGAAAGAGTTCTATTCGTAGATCGTCGGAAATTATCGCCCTTCGCTTTTCATAAACAAACCGTGGGCGTCGGAAAATATTCATGTTAGCGATTTCACACCACGTTTTTATGCTTATACACAAGCGTTGCAGACCTAGAATCCTAGATATTTATACTTCTAACATTAAACTTACCGTGAATTTTCAGAATTTGTGCTTCGTAAAGTTCCTTTTCGTATTTGATCTCTACTTTCGCACCTTCGTATAACGTTTGGTTTAAACCCAGTAATCTTTTAACGTTGCCGGTTGGCAAAATGCACGTATGGTTTTATATCTTCTTCGAAGAAACCCAAAATACGTTTTGGTTGACAAGTAAGCGATCGATACCTCATTTCATTAGTCTGATAGTAATACGGATCGAGTGATATTAGTCTGAGTCTTCACTTCAGCTTTAGCGAATTATACTGCAACTTTGAAAATCAAGCGATGAGTCACAGTCATTGAACCGTGTTGAAACACAAAGACTGTTTCCTGGACATGTAAAGGTATTCCATTAAGGGATTAAGAGAACTCATTTATCCAGAAATTATATGGTAATTATCAATTTATATGACATATCACCATAGAATAGAATAGAATAGAATAGAATTTTATTTGCACTCGAGAAAAAAAAAATGACAAGATTATTACAATAAAGTGAGAACGGTGCTGGGGAATTGGAGTAACTAAAGTTTTCGAGCCAATTCCCCATAAGAACTATATACAACAATGAATTAAAAAAGGCAAATAATAATACAAAAGAAAAATAAATTTAGAAATATATATAGAAATATAATAAACACATATATACACACATACTGTACATTAACAATTTGTATCACACACAATAGGTTTGATTTGATTATAGTAAGTAAACATTTGATATTAGGAATAGGTATCAAGGCAATTCTTTTTAATTCTTTTTATTAGAGATTTCCTAGGTAGTAATTTGTCTTGATTATCAAGAGAACTCCAGATTTTTATTCCAGAAAATTTTAATGAGTATTTTCCTGAGTTACTAGAAACAGATGGCAGATGAAAGTTATGGGTTGAATATCGAGTATAATGTTGATGTATTTCTGAAGAGTGTGTAAAATAATTAGAAAATGCTACTGGTAACCTATTATTAAAGTAATCGTACATAAAAGTACATTTTTGGGTGTAAACAATGTTTTTTACTTGAAGAATACCTAGTAATTTGTAGATAGGTGGAGCATGGGATCGAGGTTCAGAAAAAGTCATGATCCTGACAGCTTTGTTGTTTAAAATGTTTAACTGATTAAGACGTGACTGGTACGTATTTCCCCAAATAATTGCCCCATTATAAAGGTAAGGATATATTAGGGAGTAATAAACATTTTTTAGTGTGTCAAGATCAACATAGTGACGTAATTTTGAAATCATGCCAATATTCTTGGAAAGTTTCTTACATATAACGTTTATATGAAATTTCCAACTCAAGTTTCTGTCAAGAAGGACACCCAGATATTTAAAAAATTCTGACTGCTCTAGTGAACAGCCATCTAACTTGATATTTGGAATATAGTGAAATTGTTTTCTATCGGATGAAAATATCATAAATTTCGATTTTTTTATATTTAGCGATAATTTATTTGCTTTAATCCAATTGGTAAGTTTTTCTAATTCAACATTAACCATTGTGGTTAAAGTTAGTATATTACTATTTTCCAAAAAAGCATTAGTGTCGTCTGCAAACAACCGCAATTTTAAAACATTGCTGCAATTCGAGATGTCATTTATAACATAAATAAGAAATAATAGTGGGCCTAAATTTGAACCCTGTGGAACTCCACAGTTTGTTTTAATAGTGTTTGAGAGTGTCCCATTAAGGTCTACAAATTGTGAGCGATCCGTTAGATAGGTTCTAAACCAATGTAACGCAACGCTACGAATACCATAGTGCTCCAACTTGGAAAGGAGAATCGTGTGGTTGATAGTATCAAATGCCTTTGAAAAATCAATAAATATTCCACAAGTATAAAGCCCCTTATCCATGGCATTAAGAATATTGTCAATAATTTCAATTAATGCCAACGTTGTTGAATGATTTTTCCGAAATCTAAATTGGTATTTGTATATAATGTCCTTTTTATTCAAATATGATAATAGTCGTTTGCACATTAATTTTTCTAACATTTTTGTGGCTAGCCCGTTTGCGGGCTAGCCATTATCACATAGTACACAAACGCGATGAGCGATGATGATCATGGTGTCCAGTCCGGATTTTCGTAAAGTATCGGGAGCAATCGGAAGCGCCCGTATTTTTCTGCCGACATTTCACATTTGCATTTCGAGGCAATACTAGTGATGTTGTTAGTTTGTTACGACGCAGTACTGGTGAGGTTGTTAAACCAGAAAATTAAAATAAAGTTTATCTTCATGGCTTCAACCTATGGTGTCGAAACCGATCAGAAATTGCGCGTACTCGCCGTGTAAATATGGGTTTTGATTTACACTTTTGACTGATTTGCGGGCCATTTGCCATCTTGAATTGTCTTCTTGTTGAGATTTCATATCTCAATTGCATTCGAAATGTTTGGTATTTTAAAGAAGGGGTATTGTTTGGAGGAGGTACGTTTATAATGCAGCGAATAAAACCAGCATTGGATAATTATGGTAAAAGACCAGAAACTGTACATCGAACTCGTTTATTTAAAGGCTTTAAGTATACCTTTTCTTCAGACATTGACGGCGTCTCAAATGTCTACATATTTGTACTATATATATATATATATATATATATATATATATATATATATATATATATATATATATATATATATATATATATATATATATATATATATATATATATATATATATATATATATATAAACCTATAAAGGATTATTGCGTCTGTCTGTCTTAGGAATTATATAGTGGAATAATTCAGCATGATTTGTCTCACGTTCTCTTATAAGTTGACTAATATTGCATTAAAAGTGGTAAAAGTTGGTGTGCTAACCAAGATTTCAGTGTATTTGTTTGCTAATATTGCTAGGCCTATATCTCAAACGCTATTTGCCTTTTAAAATATCATATGACACGCAATTTTAATTCCACGGCAAAACTGGTGTTGCGCAAATAACAAACGCGAGATTAAATATATATGGCAGTATTACAGTTTAGTAATATTGCATTAAAAGTGGTAAAAGTTGGTGTGCTAACCAAGATTTCAGTGTATTTGTTTGTTAATGTTGCTATATCTCAAACGCTATTTGCCTATTAAAAATATCATATGACACGCAATTTTAATTCCACGGCAAAACTGCTGCTGCGCAAATAACAAACGCGAGATTAAATATATGGCAGTATTACAGTTTAGGTATCTTTTAAATTGCTAATAGATCACACGGAAACTTTTTACAATCGTTTTATTCAAAAGCCTAGCATTTTAACATATTTGTGTTTATTCAAGTGTTATTCATGAATTCGCTATTTACATGGGAAGCGACGAGATATGACACGGTATTTTTCAAGTGTACCGTGAAACTCCACTGACAAAATGAGCCTGCACAAGTGGGAGAAAATTTGCGCATTCCGACCATCGTGGTGTGTCTTCTTATTACTATTAAAGTTAACCAGCATGGCAGGCTTTCTGGGTTTGGAGGAGGGTTTGGGGAGTTAAAGTTTACCAGGCTAACCACATGTACGCATTGCGTACCTATTTTTGAGAATGGTGAAAGTAAGGAAATAGGTCTGTAATTTGATAACAAGTGAATCGATTCATTTTTATAAAGAGGGATTACTCGCGAGAGCTTGAGTTCTTCAGGAAATATACCAGAAGTAAATGAAAAATTATATAATTCACTCAGTTCTGATGCAATAACTGGTTTTGCAAGTTTCAGTAAACTAATAGGAATTCCATGAGGGCCCAAAGCCTTTGAGGCATCGATCTCATTTATCATAGAAGCCACTTCATTAGGAGTTGTAGGTGTAAGAAAGAAACTTTCGTGAGTATTCAAAGGAGTAAGATAATCTCGAAAGTCTTTATTGGAAGGAGATATTTTTTCTGCAAGTTGAGGACCAATATCTCTGAAGAAGATGTTGAATTGATTGGCAATATCCTGCGGATGATCAAATTCAACGCCATTATTATTTATCTTGTCTGGAGTAATAGAACCTTTAGACCTTATTTTAACTATTTGGTTAATAATTTTCCATGTTTCTTTTATATTACCTTGAATTTTTGTTATTTTATTTTTAAAATATAACTTTTTACTCAATTCTTTCAAATGAGTTAAAGTATTAGAGTATGATTTATAGTACCTTTTTTGATCTTCATTGCCTTTGATAAAATGATGATAATATGCATGATAATATGTATGATGATAATGCACCATGTGCATTTACTGCTTTGGAAAAACAACACAAACTTGTTGCTGTAAATAAAGTTATATAGTGCCTCGTAGTAATGGTATTTTATATGAAAAATCAAAAGCACTATATATATATATATATATATATATATATATATATATATATATATATATATATATATATATATATATATATATATATATATATATATATATATATATATATATATATATATATATATATATATATTGTAAATATATATATATTGTAAATGAGCATCTTCGTTTTAATATACTGACAAGTTACGGAGACATAACATAATTCAAATCAGTACAGAATTGCATATCAACTAATCGGCAATCTTCTACGAGGTAAGTCAGAATTTGAGTAGCAAATGAATGTGTTGCGAGATATATACTCGTTGTAGTCGTGATCTCACTGAGTTTAGTATATGTGTCTACATTATATTTATATATAGTTTATGTCTATTTTACGCTCCAATATACAGTCATATACGCTTCAATCGCCACTCAAGTACGTGTGATTGCATTGTGAAAGCACTACGCTTACTGTAGTATAACGAATAACATTATAAAATGGTTATACTAAGTGTAACGCTTAGGTTCAATGAAACTCGATTTCGGATTCAACTTTTTATTCTTGCTTCTCCGATCAGTGACACTGATCTGTATTCTCACGACAAACTACGAGTACGCGGGCGCTTTGGAGGCAGGACGCGGGCAGAGTAGACGCAAGACGCGGGCGTCGTGGTGGCCGGACGCGGGCGTCGTGGTGGCCGGACGCGGGCGCTCTGGAGGCAGGACGCGGGCAGAGTGGACGCAAGACGCGGGCAGACGGGGGACAAGTTATTTCTTGGCAATACTTTCTGTGAGATGACCCGAGCGTTTCCCTGCTGCATTCGAACGACTTAGCAAGCTTTTTCTTCAGTTCTGTTGCATACTCGGTGTGAGACTTATTCTTTGAGGTTTGTTGATCATTCGTAACAAGATCGCTTGGTAGACGGAGTTCCCTTCCATATTCGAGGTAACTAGGCGTATAACCAGTGGTACTGTGAACTGCTGTATTGTATGCGAAACAAGTAGACGACGCATACAAATCCCAATTCCGTTGATCCTCAGTAACAACCTTGGCTAACGGTTCGGATGCTCCTCTCTGACGCCCCATCTGACTGTGGGTGGAAAGGTGTTGTTCGCGTATTCCAAATTTCTAGGCGGAATAAGCATACCTCACGGATGACTTCAGCTGTTCGATTATTCCCTTGGAGTTGTTCGGGTGCTCCATGCCGAGGGATCCAACCATCAAAAACTTTCTTCGCAATTGTTTCCGCCTTCTGATTTCCTTCCTCCAAAAGCAACTGGGCGCTTTTGGCCAGATTTATCAGCCTGTTCAAGGCAGTAACCCACCGCGAAATCTGATGCATCACATGTCACAGAGAACCGACCGACACGCTGTGGAAGTTTCAACGTCACCGAAGAACACAACAATTCTTTCAACAGGTTAAACGCATCCTGACATTCATTCGTCCATAAGAATTCCTCTTTATTTAAAAGATTGTGAAGTGGAACGGCTATTTTGGCAAAATCTTTCACAAATCTCCTCCTAAACGTGCACACTCCAAGAAATCGCCGCAATTCACCCTCACTCTCAGGAGCCTTCCAATTCCTGATAATATCTAGTTTCTCAGGTAGCGGTCTAACACCAGTATTGTCGATAATGTGACCCAGGAATCTTATAGAAAGTTTAGCAAATTGGCATTTCTTCCCGGATAGTTTAAAACCGGCTCTTCTTACCATCTCAAGCAATTTCTGATTTCCTTCCAAATGCTTGTCAAAGGTGGCGTGAAAACAAATAACATCATCAAGGTACAGTAGGCCATGATATTTTCAGTCTCCAATACTTCGATCATGTCCTCGACAACAGATTGAAAGGATGTCAGTGCCCCTGGCAGCCCATAGGGCATCCTACAGTACTGAAATAGTCCATATGGGGATACAAATGCAGTTTTCTCTTTATCTTCACCGGCCACTTCAACCTGATGGTATCCGGATACCATATCAATCGATGTGAAATAAGATGCTCCAGCTAAACGATCAAGTGTTTCAGTTAAGTATGGCAGTGGGTAAACTTGTTAACATTGTGCCCTCATTTAATTTCCGATAGTCAACACACATCTGCAGGTCTCCTGATGACTTCCTAACTGGGACTAGGGGGCTCGCCCATTCAGAAACCGATTTCTCTATTATTCCATCCTTTATCATATTTTTCAAATCATTTTTGACCTCTTCCTGATAAGCGAATGGAATTCGGCGTAATGGTTGTTTGACTGGCCCAGTACTGTATCTGGTTTTAGGTGTATGTGATGTTTTGTCCCTAACTTACTGTACATGTCCCTAGGTCTCGTTTGTTTTTTGAGAAAACATCTGAGTAGGAGAAGAGAAGCTTCTCAAGTTGTTTCTTTCATGCCTCTTTAGATCACTCTGGTTTAACTCTACACCAATATCATGCAAAAAATCAATGTTCTCAGTCTGGATGGAAGAGACAACTGGATGCTCGTCATGCTGAATCTGGTAGTCGTGGACCGTGTTTAAAACCTCTTCAATATCTGATAGTTTCCCAATTTTTTTTTTATTTTTGAATAATCTAACATTTTCAAAGTTCAGATTTACTGCCTTAACAAAAAACCGTCTTTACTTGGTTGTACAACAGTTTTTGTTAGCAACACCCCACCAGGTGTCTCACAGGACTCGAATATTCCATCTCGGCTGGTCCTATCCTTAGTTCGCATTGGAATTAGTAGTTGGTGTCTGACTGGACGTTCTACAGTGCATTTTGCAATTACTGGACAAGAATTATCTCCCTTTACGATTCGAACTTGTTGGGTATCATTTAAGGGAATAGCTATATCGTCAAACCAAAGTTTATTGTTCTTTAAACCCCATGAGCCCTTGTGGTGTTCAGCTATAAATTCTGCCCCGAGAACAGATTCGTCATGGTTTCAACAACAAGAAACTTCCAAGTGGTATTTAAACTCCCTAAGTTTAACGATACCTCAGTCTCACCCTTAACAACAATTGGCTGATGAGTTATTGAAACTGGATGCACTTGGGATTCTTTAATAATTAAACCTGGTATATCTGCAGAAATCAAACTTACTTCTGCACCAGTATCTATGAGAAAGTTTGTCTCCACATTGTTACAGCAGCTCTAACATGATAACCTTTGTAACTATTTACCTCTTGTACTGTGTTGACTTTCGTTTGTTCTACTGGACTTCGATAAGGATACATGATGGCCCTTCTCTGGTTACCTAAGGCTGGTGTCGGGGCCCTGGGCCAGCCTCTTTCTCGTTTAAAGACAGGCAGTTTCGGGCCCACTGTCCTTGTCCTTTACAAGCCCGACAGATATCAGTAGGTTTGGGACCCGGTCTTACTCTTCTTCCCATACGCTTACCTCCTTTCTTCACAACTGCAGCCTCTTGAACGTTTTCTCGACCTTCTGCTCGACTGTTCTCTGAAGAATGTCCTCTAGATCACCATGCTCTTTACTCTTGTATACAGGGATCTCCATTGCTGCAGATACTTTCTTGGTAACTCCCTGTTCTTCCAGTGTTGAAATTTGCTTCAGAATACTTTCCACTGACCTTTCCAAAAGGTCATCTTGTCGAATCAACACCTCCTTTAGATCTTTATTCAGGCCATTGATAAACTGACATAATACATCCTCATTCTTTCTCTTATTATAGAACGCCATGGCTCCTTGCTTAAATATTTCATTTTTGACCTTCTTGCGTGGGAGGACCACAGTATAAGCCCTTTCGTATCCTAATCTCAGCTCTGACAGATAGGAATGCAATGTCTCTCCACTCTTCCTGCCAGTAGAGTAGCCAGCCCGACGATTTAGTCTCGCTATGCAAATATTTTCGTGTTCATTGACTGTGAAAACAATCAATTTCTAAAGAAATGAATAATGATAATAATTTTGAATTTGCATAACGGGACTAAATTGTCGGCCACTGCTTCCTGCATCTGCCATTAATTAAAGACTTTCTTGTATTTATATAATGCAAGACTACCATCATCTTTTTTTCAACGGAAAGTTCTTTATAACTCTTCCGTACAGATTCTTGTTGCTGGTGGTAAATTTGCATCATCAGTCAAAAATACAGCCAGAAATTGGCCAGCCTTCTCGTCCGACCACTCGTTTACAGCCACGTAAATCTCGAAGAAACTCGCGGATATCTTCCTCTCCAGAAAACTTCTTGTCTGGGAGAACAGATTTGTTGATCCCATGCTACCACCAGTGTAAACTCACGCAATAAATGGTTATATTTATTGAGAACAAAATAAAACAGCAAAAATATATCTTCAATAATCACACAACAAGCGCCAACACAACACCGTCGTAGTGCGCATTATTACTCATTACTTCCCAGTCCTTACATATGTATGTCAATTATCAACCTAAAGTACCGTAAATTAGACAAATGTTTAATTTAACCAGAAAATAATTTTCAAAATTGCTATTAATCATGGAACAGTGATGTACAGTGCTACAGTTAGTCTGAAAATTTAAAATCCTGTGCAACAGAACAGCCTTTCACACGAGGCATGATCATGGCCAGCACAGTGTCCAGTTAAATGACAATCTGGCACAGCTTGTGCCAGAGCACCACAGCAAGATATAAAAAATACTTGAGCTTGTGGGTGCACTCTGTGTGGTTGAAACTTGGGAAAAAAACAGCTTTTTAATAACTACTAACAGTCAAGTTACAGCAACTACTGTAGGTCCCACCCCCTAATAATTTTACTATTACCACATAATAATTTAAATTTTTAGGTGATTTTAACCCCTTCTCCCTCCTAATGATTTTGGTACCGTAGGCCCCCCAATCCAAAAAAAACATCCTATACTGTATATTCCCTTCCTCCTGTATGTACAGTATCACCATCAAAACATGGTTAACTACATATTATCTCAAAACTATGATGAAGAAATCTATGATGATAAACCATTAAATTTACTGTAAATGATCCACTTATACTAATTAACAATCATGACTGCTTGACACTTGTAAGTTTAATACAGTACAGTACAGTACAGTACAGTACAGTACAGTACAGTACATGGACACTTTTATGGATTCAGTCTGCATTTTTATGTTTGAATTGACAATTAATACTTATTCTCAACTATTGTAGCGAAGAAATATTTTCATCCTATCAATGTAATACTTTGCATCACATTGCAAAGATCCAGAAACATCCAGGAGACATTGTTGAAGCTGGATCATTAGCAGTAAGTATCATTGAGACATGTGGAATTGCGGTGCTCAAACAAGGTTTGGAATCGCTTTACAGTATATTCCGCTGCATGAACTTGTTAGTGTGTTAGTTTGTTCGGAATCATAATTAGCCTTGGTACTGTATTTATTCAAAAATAGTATGTCTTCAAATGTGTTTGTGCTTCTGGTGCACTTGTTTTGTTGCATGGTTCAGAGCACCGTACTGTCTGTAGTACTACAGAACGTCTGCATGGTTTTCCATCCAGACTGACATTTCAGCCAGCCTGCTGGTGACTTTGGGTAGAAATTTTAAATTAAATTATATGCCTTCAGAAAGCTTGAAAGAACAGTAATTTGGAGTATGATCTTATTATGATCTTACGTTTTTAGTTTCACAAACAATTTTCTCTTCTTTTCCTTTTGCCCCATCATTTTCCTTTTGCCCCCTCATTTTCCTTTTGCCCTTTCCTTTATTTTCCCTTTGTTCTTTTGTTCTTTCTTTTTCCTCTTTCTTTCCCTTCCTTTCTTTTTCACTCTTCTTTGAATTTCTTCCCTGGCTCTAAGACCCTTTGATTCCTTCCCCCTCGGGGAGGTCATATCACCTGTACATTTATTAGGTGCATGGCGAATTATTTGAACAAACTAAACTAAGAAGTTCTTTGTAGGTTTGCATGGCAATAAAACATATAATACATTTGTTTGTGGAAACACCACGTAAATTTATTACTACAAAGCTTTCGATCCGTAAGCCCGGATGCTCATTAGTGCTAATAATATTATTAGCAACTGATGTATTATTAGCACTGATGAAGATCCGGGCTTACGGATCGAAAGCTTTGCAGTAATAACTTTACGTGGTGTTTCCACAAACAAAAGTATTATAAACTAAACACATTATTTTACTAATTCTAGGCTCAGACCTTGCCAGAGGCTGTGTATCCCATATGTCAATCAATTGGTGATGAGATTATTGAAAATGGTAGATACTGCAATTTGTTATTTCATATAATTTGTGTATTCGTATTAAACAACTTTAATTTACGTGACCTTGTACAATTAAGGTCGCACGTAATTATCACTCCAACTTTGCAACGCAATTTTTCTGTGGAAAATAATTTTGCATGTTGTACAGTAGTGATATGCACCGCGATTATATATTTTCGATTTAAATTGCGGTAGCCTGCGTACCCCCATACCCCTGAGAGCTACTATGCAGGCTATAAATTATGGAAGAATTTAGACTGCAGAATTGCCTTTTTCGTGATTGGTTGATTTTTTAAAAATTGTGTTGTCGCCAGTTGCAGCGAAGATTTCCTCGTGAAACACGGCCTTGTAGTAGTGGTCTAAAAAGATACAAGTTTCTTTCCCGCTCGAGACAAATTTTTCGTGTTCTCCACAATGTCAAGAAAAGATTTTCCAATATGAGTACAGTATATAGAATTGTATAATAAATAGACCTGACGTACAGTACCTTGTATTACAGGAAAGTTGAGCGACCTCCAGTTGGAAGGGGTTATTTATAGTGTAAGTATACTGAGATCAGTGAGATGACAAAATTTGTCAGAAATACAGTGCTGCCGCAATTGACCACTTGCGTAATAGACTAAATTTTGATCTCAACAAAACTTTCATCACAACTTGAAAGAGCATCACAAAATTAGTAATATTCCAAAGTTTCGTTGCGAAATGTTGTAAAATGCGGATAAGATAACCTTGCGAAGTTTGCAATTTTCAGTCATTTTGTATTACAAATGGGAAATTGACAGCCCCAAACCCTTTGAGGCTGTCAATTTCCCGTTTGTAATCTATAAAATGACTGAAAATTACAAACTTCGCAAGGCTATATTTTCCGCATTTTACAACATTTCGCAACGAAACTTTGGAATATTACTAATTTTGTGATGCTCTTTCAAGCTGTGATGAAATTTGTGTCTAGACTTGTTTAGATCAAAATTTAGTCTATTACGCAAATGGTCAATTCAAATAAAACCAGTGATGTTTTTGGGTGGAGAAAGACAAGGTAATATGCACCTCCAGCATCAGCCAATACAGAATCAAAATTTCCATTCCTAGTGAATGTTTTCTTTGTTTTAGTGCCAACGGCATCGAGTAATTTTGGGAAATGGGGAAAGGGCTGGGTTTTTTATTGGTGACGGAGCTGGCGTTGGTAAAGGTAGACAGGTATGTCTGCATGGATGTTGTTTATTATTATGAAGGGTCTGCTGTAAATCATTACGGTGTAAACATGCACGCGTACAGTAAAAAGACAACCCTTAACAAACTGACAGTGGACTTGTACCGATGCTTTTCTAACAGACTTGTAACGACAAAGTTCTGACAGATCTTCATTACAACGTTGTCAACAAGCTTGCTACAATGTGTCAACAAAACCTTTACACACATTTCGCGAAGAATTTTATAGCAATTAATAATAAAATTATTGTTATGTTCTGTTCCCTGTCAACAAAACTTGAGTTCTATACGTTCTGGTGATGGCTCACGGAAAGCAGGTTCTTGCTTTGCACTTTGTTACACGCTTGAGAACTTCGAGGTTATCGGTTTGGTCAGAATGTCAACCTCCCTTCCATAACACAGGCTACCTTTCCAAAGTCAAAGAGCGAGTTCCAATTTCGACTCGGACCAGGACTCGGGCTTACCTCCGACAAACGTATAGCTAATGCGTGTCATTGATACTTTATTATAAAGTGGCGTCTATATAGGCACTTGCTCAAAAGCAGGTCATCCAGGAAGTAGGGCCTGTAGAGGTGTAAGAAATCACGCTATTGGGCCTGAATAGGGTTACGTTTCCATGTACTGTAGCCAGGGACGCCGGAACTGGGG